CTTTAATATGAAATATAACACAAAACTCTCAGTGAAATATAACCTTCAGAGTTCAAATTATTGCAGATTTCTTTTGCCAAGCAGACTGAGTGAACACAATGCTGTAGCTGACTGTGGAAAGTGAAAGGCTGCACACACCAGCAGTAAACAACATGCTTCAAAACACGCTGATTTCTATGTAAGCTCGCATATTTATCTGACAGAAAGCCTGAATTTAAGAATAGAAAAGTGTCAGGTTTATCTAGAGCTGTGGTTCCCAAAATGTCTAGGTTGTGATCAATGAAGTGTGGTATGAGTGAATCACCACAGCCACTTCAACCCTTTGGAGTATGTCTTCAATTACAACCTACATCTGTTACGTCTCAGGAAACAATCTGCAGGCAGTCCTCCATGAAGAGGTAAAGCATTAATAGTAAAAATTATTATCTGTGTGCCTTTAGAAATAAAGTGGTTAAATTCAACCTTTTTTCCACTTGGTCTTTATTAAAAATACGTAATTAAAAAGTGATCAATAATCGCCTAAGCCGAATTGGCTTGCGACCCTTTAAAGGGGAACTTAGCAGCTCTATCCATTTCTTCGCTGGTTTTCATTTTAGTCATCTCGTTTTCTCATCGAGCTCCCCCTACAGCTTTTTCACAACACGTCGTAAAAACAACTTCAACTCTTTCTACCGCTAGCTGATGTGCCTTTTTTTCCAGCCGGGCAACTTTTCGGTGGTTGAGCAATACGGGGAGGGTGCCCGGGGGGTGGTAATTGTGTGTGAAAACACTGACCGGTACCGTGGTGCGTTTTATGGAGGAGATGGTACGTAAGGCGTTGCGTTGGTTTCGTCGTTCGTGTTCTGCCCGATACTGCTACTACCAACGTTTACGCGCAATTTACCGGGACGGTAATTTACAAACCCTACTAAGACCACGCCAAGTCCCGCCCTATGCCTGCCTCTGATTGGCTGAGGTCACTGAGGTGAGGGGTCAAAGGTCAATGAGGTGAGGGGTCAAAGGTCCAGGGCTGGCTGAGGGGTTAGGGGAAGGAGTGGGGGAGGTTAGGGTTGAAAAGACAAACAACAACAAACAACAAACAAAGGTCAACAAAGAAAGACGGGAACATTTTCACAGGAACAGGCCATTTAACCATCCAAATGACGGGTTTATTAAGCTGAAAAAGTTGCCAAGTTCCCCTTTAACTCTTGAAAAACTCAAAAGACTTTATTAACCTTGGCTAATTTATAATGCACCAGTGCATTTGTGCACACAGGCCTTCTTTGGGATGTAGCATTTACTGTAAGTTTACCAGCCAAATTTAATTTTAATTTAGCAAAACTGAGGTGGACATGACATCAAACTGTGGTTTTAAGACTTTAAAAGTTTGTGAGTGTGTGAATCATGAATTAAACAGAACTTTCCAAAGTTAACACATAGCTTCCCCATATTCATTATCCTCCACACAAACCATTGTGTCCGAGCACATTTACATCACGTTTTACTTAAGGGAGCTTCATGTGGCACTGTTCAACATCAGTACTGTTAAACTGTTACTTACTGTACATTCCTTCTCTGTGGCGTTCTCTGTCTTCACTGAAACTGTCATTACAGAGTCTGACGCTTCAGGTGACTCACAGCGGACAAACACGCCAGCCTAATATGCAAATCTGCTGAAGCGGCTGCAGAGCCGATGTGATTTCACAATAGCCTAGAATTTGGAGGATGTCACCAGCTGAAGCTTCTATATAAGCATAGTCTTCAAAATGTTTTTGACAGAAGTCAAAGGGTGTTTTTAAACAACAAATGTAATCTATTTCTTCTTTATTTTTTCAATTCTTTAGTTCTTCAATATTGGGTGTCGACTGATACTAAGGTCCAATGTACTTACATTGACCTAAATGTTGATTAAATATCTGACATACTCAAATAACAGCAAAATGTAATACTACATCTTAAATCAATGAATTCTTATGTCATAATGTCATATGTCACAAATTCAGTGAAAAACTTGTTTGGATATGAAACATTAACTTTCCTGTTCTTGCCACAGTTACTTACAAATGGCACTTATGCAGCCTGAGGTGCTCCGATCAGATAATAGGGCTTTTAAATGGATACAAAACATTAGTTTTAAGCTGTAACACTACCTCTGCCTCTGGATAATTCTGTTGTCCAAATAAGGACAAAGTCCTCCCAAGAGCATTTCGCCCATTGGTGCTTTAGGAAAACATTCTTTAAATGGTTTAAAGTTAGAAATGGGAAATGATATTTATAATTAACAAGCAATTTCTGAAATTGTCGCCACACACTGCAATTTATATCCATTAAAGGTGGGGTTTAACTTGTGTTGTATTGTTGAGTTTCATTCCCAGGTAATGTGACTCAACAATGCATTTCAATAAAAATAATTTTTTGCTTAATGCCAAAACTTAAAATACGCAATACTAACCATGCTTCATCCACTTTCATATCTACTGGGAGTAACATCGAAACAGCATATTTGTTTTTTTATGTTGCAGAAAAGCCCCAAACCCAAAGTATCTCTGGGTGTGTTGAAATGCTGGAGTAGTTTAAAACAATAAAGGACAGACAGTAACCATCAATCTTTTACCTTCTTCACTGTCTTTCCATCACCACTTTGTCATCAAGACAACTGTCACACCAATCACTCCTCAAATTATTCCTGTACCAACATGTACTCAATTGCTGGCAATAATCACACATTTTCGTCTTGAGAAAGCACATAATGTGGTCATGTTTCTACATCTTACCTGCTACACTGCAGTCCAATGTTTGTTAAAAAAAAAAAAACTAAAAACACATGAGTAGCCACTACGTTGCCAATTTTGCAAACATGCACACTCATTTCATCGTGCCACTTTCTGGCGTAACCAGGCCCTAACTCGTGTTCAGAAATTATTCATAAAGCTCTTTTGATGTGCCACTGCTGTGGTGAAAGATTTGATTAAGATTAAGCCACTTTGACTACTTGATTTAAGTTAGAGAAATACTGTGGCTAAGGTTTAAAGAAACCATCATTAACTGGTTGAAAGGATGCATGTAGTGATTTCTCTGAATGAATGTAGCACTTTGTCCCTTCATCTTTGCCTCCTCTCCATCCTCAACTTTGGTTTGTCCTTCCTCCTCTGTCCTCCAGTACCCTTCTTTTCTTTCAGTCTCATCTCACCTCCTGCCACACTTTCCACTTCTTTGTCCTTCTTCCTCTCTCTTCTTCCTTTTTCCTCTTCGTGCTCTTTGCTCATTTTGCCTTCTTTCCTCCCTCACCTACTTTTTTACCTTCTCTCACTCCATCATTCCTCTTGCTCCTGTCTCTCTCCCCAGAGTGCAGGATGAATAATGCAGTGTTCTGCTCTGATAATCATCGTCATTGGGCTTTCCTCTTATTTTTTCTTTTTTCATTCTTTTAGTAAGACATTCCTTCTTCTTCTTGTTTCTTTCCTTCTTTGGCCCTGCTTATTATCAAAAATGACTTCCAACAAGCCCAATTGTACCTAAGTCAAAGAAATAATAAAATACTGCAATAAAACGGTTTATTTCAGAGTCTATTTCTTATCTGAACGGAAGGTACAGACAGTGAGTAGAGATAAACCTGTGATTCTTGTATAAATAAACGGGACACTATTTTGGGGTGAGTCTAAAGTTACCAAAAAAGAGAGATGGTGAAGTGTCTTGATGATGTAAAGGCAATTGTTGGTGGGTTGGGATTATACACTCATTTATATTCCTTAAAGGTCCAGAACGTATGATTTAATGGCTTCTAGCAGTGAAGTAGCAGATTGGAACCAACTGAATAACACTCGTCTTCCAAACATGTAGGAGAAACTATTTCTGCCAATAGATCATCCTAAATGTTACACACTGGACCTTTAAATTTAAATTTGGTGTTTTATGAGCATATGGCTAGCATCTGGCCATGGTGCAAGTGTGTGTCTGGGTTAGGCTTTACATTTTTAAAATGTCATCTTTCTGCTGTGAGCAACACAAACTAAATTCCAGTTCCCCTCCTTTGTACTAGGGTGGAGGTGGAAATCTCAGAGACAGATATTTCAAAATGTTAAAGCTATCTGACTGAATTGATACCACTTAAAGAGGAGAGGGATGTTATAAAATATGTCTACAGTATATCTGTAAAGACATATTGGACATAATATATTAAAATGGCCATATGTGCTATGTCTTGAATATGTGTGAAATCGATGTCCATATGCTGTATATCAAATGTATGCTTTGGGTATTGGTGATAGGCAAACATATGCATATATTAGTAATATGTCAGTACCTCTAGGATTTTGGAAAATTGCTAAATAGTGTGATTTCTTTGATATAATAGACCTTTTTCACAGCAGCCATTTCAATATGAAATAGTCGGGTAAACACAGGTGTTACCAATGTTACCACATTCATTCCGTTCAGTTTGGTGTAGCAGAGCTTTTCCAGTGAGCACAACATACACAACAGAAGCACCCTGAACACACACCTTAATTAGTATAATTGGTAACTATTTCATGTCAAAATGGCTGTTGTGAAAAGGGACCATCAAAAATCAAAGGGAACGTTTTGCGCATTGCACTGCTACGACTGGTGAAACTCGTGGGAAACTACAATTCTTGGTCAAATTTGAGGACATTTTTGTGGTCACTGAACAAACATCTCAACTTCTTGGAGAGACCGAGATGTAATTTCAGATTTTTCATAACATGGGAATAACACAAACAGATACTTGACATGTTGTACAAATATCAGTTTGTATACTTGTGAGGACGCTCCAAAGCCTTGAATTAATTCCCAAACCTCTCCTCTAACCACTACAACCTCAGCACACACACAGCTACGCACACTGACAAAACAAATGCACACATTCTAAGACAGAAAACGTGATTGCACACTGTTACATACACATACTCAT